AACATCTTATCACAAAGTCCAACAATACAAACGACGGTGATCTAGATCAACAAAGATACTTTCAAACAGTGTTTTATTCCGCTATTCATTTGCAAAACGTAAGCAGTCGAACCAATCGCCTTGTACAATCAATGCCAAGTGGATTTTACAGGCTGTATAACTTTATCTTGTCGGTCCGATCGCCAAAGCCACTGGCGACAACGAAGTTTAAAATGCATTATTTGCGGCAGAGAGCCGAAACAATGTCGGTTTGTTCGCAGACAGTGGACTTGTCTTCATTTAAGAGTTCAAATACTTGGATGTCGCTTGCCGTGCAAAGCTGTGGCTTTGAAAAGACTTGCTGGCTTCTATTTTTCATCAATGTTTTTTGGTATGGACGTGATGGATGACGTATAAATGGGTAATTAATTTTAACGTCAGGAGTAAATGAATGAGTCGTTGTTTGGAAATTTCGATAGTATTAGTAACATTTGTCAGACAAAGGTCTCTTATTTAATCATTATCAACAACACACGTACCTTCTTCCTTTTCGAATTCTCTATCTATATATTTGCCAATAGGGTTGTGAGTGCTTTTAGAGTCGGTTTATAGTCGCCATCTCTTCACTCGATCGCCGCTACGCGTTGCGTGTCTGTGTATCTGGGTCAGGACTAATTTTGATCCACGGAAGAACCGTCCCTGTAGTGTGTTAACATTCAGGACGGCCTCTTATTTACATTGGTGCCATGGAATTGACGCCACGCCACGACCAGCCGCTGTTGGTGCCCGGCTCAGCTATGCTGGAAGCCATGTCGACACCCTGTGTTGTGTCCGTGCGCGTAGTGGCTGCGGTAGAACTGCTGCCTATGCACAAGGGAATTATCAGTAATGCCATGGTAGAAGTCTCACTTTTACACAAGAATGGTTCAAATCAGTTTTGTTATAGTATGGGCAATGACCATAAGGTACCGTCGGGTATGCAGGCTTCACGAGCTCATATGAATAGTACGTCTTCTTTGCCTGCAGAACGTCATTTTCATGTACTGGGTACGAAGTTATTCAAGTCTAAAATTGTCAAGAGCTCACTTAATCCAATTTGGAACTTCGACGTGGACTTTGGCGAGGTAGACACAGACAGCGTCATTGGCGTCTTGTTTACGGTGAGGCATATTGAAAAGTTTGGTCTTGTCAAAAAGGATATCGGACAGCTAATGCTGTCACTACGAGACATTATGGAGCTAAAACTGGTGCGTGGACGGTAGGGAGGAGAGGGGAAGATTGCAAGTTGTTGACACTTTTCTAACTTTGTAGTTTTTTGATAAAAAAGCAATTGCCTTATGAGCAGACATTTCATTTGCAGTCGACGGAGAAGATGATTCGGCGAGATGCTTTAGAAGCTTCGAGCAATCGCAAATCTGGCAAGCTCATAGTTCGTAGTAACGGCTACGGTGTGCCTACCAGCTACACGGTTACGACTAATGGTCGTGTGTCGAATATGGTAAACACGCTCGTGACCCATGAAGACGAGTTTGGACGTAGCTCCAAGTCTCTCGTAGTGCATGACATTCGAGCCGAAGTGCGCAAGCTGCAGGGTTTTCATCAGACAAAACCAAAGCCAGGCGAGATGTGGTTTGCTGTAAACGCGGACTGGGTCCATGCTTGGTTGCTCTTTGTGTCAAAGTACAAGGGTGAAGAGGGTCACAACCCTGGCACTGTAGACAACATGCCGCTGATTTCAGACGACCTATCGAATGGCACGTTTCAGATTAAGAAGAATTTGGTCATTAAGAAGGATTTTCGGATGATCAACAAACAGAGCTGGGACTACTACCAGCATGTATATGGTGGGGGACCTGCGATTGAAGTGCAGATTCCTATAGACTGCGCCAATCCGCCGCAGTGGCTAGAAACTCTTCAGCTCAGTAAAGTTGCCCGTGTCAACTCTAATTACGTCGATATGCACTGAGATGGATACCGGAGCCACCACATTTCTATAATACAGCTGAGTTTCTAACTGATGTGCACACTTGCTGCCTCGTCACGATAGAATCGTCTATGTCATGCAATACAGCATCGCGCTCGTTTATTTAATCACAGAACAGTATAACGAAAGCACGCGCAATCAGTTACACATCCTATTTGTTTTGTTCACGTGATGATGGAAGCATGATGTTTGCGGTTGTTTAAACCTGTTTCAGCTATTCGCATCAGATTCTTTTCTAGGCCTAATTAACAAAACCGCTTATAAAGAAAGAAAAGCACTGGCAGCACGAAACTCTCAACAATTTGCACCAAATGGCTTTTAAAACAGCTTCTTCTCGATATCTCCGTCCTAATCAACTACACATCGCACAGGTTATCATCGCTTAGTGGCGCCTAGTCGCTCTAATTGAAGTAAAGCGTTCACAATCAGCGGTAAGACTTTCCAAGATAACGAACGCGCGTGTCTTACAAAGGGGGTTTCGTGTTAGCCTGACTAGTAAAAAAGCATTGTATTCTATTAATAATGTTGCGTCCAAAGATCTCCAAGAAAGCAGCAATCGAATTGGATCCCTGTTTATATAGGAAAATATCAATAAAGGAAGAAAAAATCGTAAGAAGAAAAGAGAAAATTAGAAATCTCTATTGAATCCGGACGGCCCTCTAGGTTCTTTTGTAAATATGTCGTAACATGCAGAGTGTTAGGCCTCACGTACGGCTTTGTTAGCTCGGCAATGGAGGTGTTTGATGCGCCCTCACTTGGAGCTAATTCCTTCCCCAAACCAATGCCTCACTGGCTTGCATCTGATAGCCGCGTGGCGAAATACACTGTTGACGTGGTGTTGCCAGAGCATCGTAATGACGACGGTCCCTGCGACCTCCCATATCGTTCGCCAGGCTGTGGTGAATTGATTAATGTCTCAGGGTACCAGGCGAGCTGCTGTGCTGTAACTTTCGGCGAAATGCGTCTTACGCAACGATTAGCGCAGTGCTTGAGCCAATCCAGCAGGTGGTTTGGCTTGTAAGGTGTACCCTCGCAACAACTAATGAGCCGGACCCAAAGTGCTTGAACTTGGGGGCAGCTCCAAAAAAGATGCTCCTGGGTCTCCTTCTGTCCAACACATTCGCGATAGAAGCAAGTGCTGTCTGGAAACAGCTCCTGGTACCAAAACTACAGCCGACCTGTAGCATGGTGGTATCGTGTCCATAACTAGTATTCCGTCACCGCGTGCCCGTGACCCCATATCTGAGCAGGCGAGACATCGAGAGCTGCGTGTTGCCACCGCGTGTCCTGTCTCGTGGTGAGGATTCCATCAATGACTTGTTTCAGCGCTGCTACGAGATGACGCTTTATTCTGAAAAAGCTTGGTGTTTCAGGAACCTGTGGATGCGATAATTGGGAACCATAGGCGGCGCAGACTATGGATAGTCGTGGCTCTGTGTGTTGGAATAAAACACGACCTTATTTCAGATGAGCTTTCGCTCCGCGAGTTGGGTGAGCTCTTGAGGTTTCCCCTTCACCGGCGGCGGTTCACCGTCAAAAAAACCAAATTACACCATTGTGGCATTGAGTAAGCTCCCAACACTGAAATTTATCAGAACTGACAGAGAAAAAGTGCCTCGAATCCTGCCCGACCCCAATTAAACCCAAGCAATAGCTTGGGCGAAAGGATGTTTGGTCCGTGGCTTGAGTGGAGACGCGCTTCTCACCGGATTTCCAATGTCGAGTGTCGGCGAAGAAAGTAAAATAATGATCGCCCATTATGAGACAGTAACGGTATGTGCAAATGTTGCTTACCAGGACCGACTGTTCTATGTTTGAAAACGCGTGGTCCACATGGATCACGCTCAGCAGTGTTTCTTAATGCTTTAACGTCTCTTTCTTCTCTATTATAAGGCACGTTCCTTTATACACACGTCGCTTTGGTGTCGCACCTAACATGATTTTTTTTACTTCAATTCGTTTGAACTTACAACAGTCACGTCCGCCTGCTAACGTTTACCCACTTTTGAGAAATGAAGCATCTGACGTCAATTCTATTGTCGATTCCTTGACCTATGTTTTATCCTTACTCAACTGGGTTCAGAGACACTCTACATGCCTGCATTGCCTATTTACCGAGAATTGAATACTACGTTATGATGTCACTGCCTTATTCCAGACGCTGGAGGTTAACACTGATGCTCTCGTGTTGTGGATGAGTTTCTATGGACATTATCAAACCACAGTAAAGGTTATTTTACTGGATCATAACACGTTAAGCAATAAAACAGCTCCATCGGTTAAAGGAACGCAGTCGTGAAGACGATAGATCAGTACTCTGACGTGTGCCCAGCACATGGACGTGAAGAAGAGAGAAATAGCCTTTGCTGATGGTAATGCTCTTATCGCTAGTAGTGGCAAAAAGATTACAGGAGGTAGCATACCCATAATGCACAAAGGATGCTGTCAACGAGAATGCTTGGGATGATTGTTCTAGATAGCATCAATATTGGCCCAAGTGCCAAGAAGACACACGACAGATGCGAAAGCGGCACAGAAATTGGAAGAGATGGCGTTTGCAAAGAAAGAAGAGCGGTTCAAGTGGCTACAAGAAAAAAAGCCTAAATCTCTGCACTGGAAAGAATATATATGTTGGATAATTGGCTGCAGATGGATGACAAGGAGTTCACATTTGCAAAGAAGGTTTGCAATCATTCAGTGCTGGTCGACCTGAACACTTTTGTACTTATTTGGAAAAGACGCGGCTACACCACGCACGAAACTGGTTGTATACTGCAAAACAAAATGGTCTGACATTTTAAATGCTGATGACCATGCTCATGACGTCTGACGGACACTACTATCCAAGTTGTTCAGAAGAACAGAGACGATGCCAAACCGTATGTGGTATGTTTAAGGGGAAGGAAGGTTCGTTACTGTTGGACATCTTCCGGCTTCCGGAGACTCAAATTGAATGAGCACATGACTGCTGTTAATGAGCTTAACAAAGGTGCACCATGAAAACAGGTCGCACTGCTGATTTAGCGCGCGCTTGTTGAGCTATCATAAAGCTAGAAGCTAGTAGCGCCATAACTAATGTCGGTTCATCCAAACGCGCTTTGATGATTTGATATCCGCAGGTGCCAAGCTGTTGAGGCTAACAAGATGCTTACTCATTCTACTTTCAAAGTCGTCAGTACCTGGACGCACATTATCCCAAGTAAAAGCAATCACTTAGTCTGCAAAAAGCATGATTATTATTTGTATAACTGTGGCAAGACTGGTTTAGGAAATAACTTGACGAGGAACGAGAAGAATTATATACTCCGAAATGCTCAAATCCTGTCAATTCTGTAAGCTTTTGACGTTTAAGTTTCTTCATATATTCTGTCTGATCAAAATAGAAAAGGCAAAAGCGATCAAATTAAAGCGCTTCTTATCAGATTGAACCTGCTTATGCTATAGTGACAAGTTAAGAAGAGAGGTAGGCACAGTTCTACAGAAGAGAGAGATATAGACAGACAGTTCGATTGAAGAAAAGAAAAGACAGACATTCAATTCAAGAGAAAGAGAGACAGACAAATCGATTGGACGTTGTGAAGGTTTACAAGATGGCTGGAGAGCCTAATCTGATTGTGTTCAAAGGCGAGCAGCGCTCAAGTAAGATATACAATTCAGTAGTGCTGGCTAGAGATTTGCAGCACAGCAAAAGATCAACAGGGCGACCTCAAGTTTTAGTTACAATCAAGACACGCGTCCGAGAAACGGAATTTATGGTGCAACGGATTGATCCCCGGCGTTAGCCTCACCGTCGGATAAAACAAATCCTAAACAGGGGGAATAATAAAATTCGATAATATACG